TTGCTGCAGACAAAAAAACAAAAACTGCTTTTTCCTGGCAACAGAACCAAAGCCTCCTGCCAGTTTTTGCTCTCCTGACAGCTCATGAGTAATTTGTAGAGTAGGGTATGTTGGATGATGGTTAGAAAAGAAGACATCAGCAGATTCAAATCAATCTAGGGGCCCAATTTATTAAATCACACGTAGGACAGATTTTGAAAGCACACAGGTGCACAAAATGTCAAGGACATACCTCACTAAAAATAACAAGATTTATTACCAAAGCATGTGCATACATATCTGGAGTTATTAATGTTTTCCCAGTAATATGCTAACGTAGATCAGCATTACATCCTACTCTTGACATGCCCAATTTTAATTAAAGGTGGTTTCCTGAAAATGCCTCATAAATCTTGAAGTAAATTGGGTTATCTCTATGATGGGAGCGTCTTGATGGTAAATTATGACAGCAAAACAAGAAGAAGCCTTGAATCATGCTCCCAAACAAGAAGCATGATGGTGAACCAAAATATTGTCTATTTTTGATCACTCTGGACATTTTACATAAGTAAAGATTGTTCATGTGGCTTTCTAGCAGCAACATATAACAGATTTACTTGCAACAAACTGGCTATCGCAGGATTTGTTTTCTGGGGGAATTTTATTTCTTCCGGTTTGACAGATATTATCAAGTTTCTTCCTCATACATTAAAAATTTCTGTTGAATAAAATGTTGGGTTCAAAAATGTAGGTTCGTAAAAGAGGAACTGAGTCTACACAGAAGAGGGATTTTTAATAGCTTCTGCAGAAGGAGAGAGTTACATTCAGCTCTCTACTCACTGACTGAATTCCTCTGCAAAGCCTTTTTATTAGCAGATCATAACACATGGGGTGGGTTACAAAATAGTGTTCTTCTGACAAGGCAATTGATCAGGTCATAGGACAAAATGCTCCTCTGATTGAATCACAGAACAGAGTGGTCTTCTGATAACTGTGATTAGCCTTGCACAAACATCAGTAATTTTCCACCACCGTTGCATGACAGTTTGCAGTAAACAGAGTGAAGAATCTCATTTCTCCAGTGTTTCATATGTTCACACATTAACTTTATAATCATCATTGAATAAACCTAACATAAATTGTGAAGGATATTTGTCATAAGACTATTAGGCATGCTAACTGCATCAAATCTTTTAATGGTTTTATCCCCATATATATTAGAATTTTAAATAATAATTAATACTGTGCTTGTCTGCTGCTGTGCTTTAAAACATATATGAAGAGAAAAAAATGAAATTGTCAAGAGCTGTTTTAAACAAAATTTCTTTTTGTTTACACTGGTGTATACAAAATAACAAAATAAAATTGTCTTAGTCTAACTCTAAGTCTAAAATCTTTGTTTCAATTAAATTGTGATCAAATTTGACCCTTTACCTTAGTAAAACCCTTAAAAGAAATGATTTGCTTCACCCTGTGGGTAAATTTCCATCTATAGAATTTTATAAACATTGTTGTGATATGGCAAATAGATGGAAAGGGTGTAAAAAATAAAAAGAGGGTTTAATGAAAGAAGCCAATATTCCATGTGCCTAGGTGCAGAAAAGTAGTTTGTTTTTTGAATATTGGCCCACATTTGTTTTATTTCTAGTCTTCTTCATCAGAAAATATAGCAGCTAAATGAAACAGTTCTCTTTAAAGAGTATGCATTAAAGCCCTGATGTACAGATTTCTTCAACCGTAATTTAAAAGAGGTTTGGTTTAATTGAAGTTATATTGGGTTGTTTACATGTTTCCTTTATTTTATGAGCATTTTATGAGCATCACACATTCCCTCTTTTTTTCTCTTCTTTTGTGTTTGTCTCGGTTATAACTAAGCCTGTTGTAATAAGCAAAAATCTATTAATCTCATAATGGCACCATAAAGTAATACTAAGAATAATTTAACTTTATTGATCTCACACTGAAATTTACCCCTGTATTTAACCCAGTCCTTTGTGGAGCAGTTGGCTGCCATTGTGCGGCACTCAGGAAGCAGTGTGGGTTTGAGTTTCTTGATCAGGGAGCCAGAGTGCAGGCTGTGGGGATTGAACCGGGTACTTTCAACCTTGTCAGAACACAAGCACAATGCTCTAACCACTAGCCCAACAGTCTCACAACACTATGATTGTATAATGAATTTAAATAAACATGATAATTTCTGTTTCTGTTTGCACACTTTTCCATTTGTTTTCTGTGTCTCACTCTCTTTACTACTAAAAAGAGTGGATGGTAGAAGGTTTCACCATGGCCAGATTCTCAAGAGCGCTTTTCAGCATAATGGTCCATTATACTGAAAGTTGTAAAAATGGTACGGGATCGGATGCTAAACTGAATTTTAATGACCTTGATGACTGCAGAAACTGTGTTTTTAAGACACATTTACCTCCTTATTTGAACATAAAGGCAAAAAAGCTGTCCTCAAGGCAAAGATATAAGTGAATGTCATATTCCTGCGAATTAGACCGCCTGCCTTCCCTTCACACTTAATACTCAGACTCAAACTTTAGCAGAGTTACATGCATTTCTAGGCACAAAACATGCTCCTGCTAGCAGACAGAGAGCACCACCTATGAAGCCAGTATTAGAGTGGCCATCAGGAGGCTCAAAACGATTACCCAAATGGCTGATTTGTCAAGGGGCAGCAACAATGTTCATTAAACCGTGTCACCCAGTATGTTGCATTTTTTAGCAAAAAATAGCAATTCAATCAAGCAAAACAGCAAATATGTATCTGTCCCTAAACCATAATCATTCAGTGCAGATTTCACAGCTGGAAAAAAAATACAACTGATAGTGCTGTTTCTGTCTTCCTAAAAGTAAACAATCCACAGAGTATTGAAACAAATCATGCTCTTGTTCTAGTGCCCGTTCTCGTGGGCCAGTGGAGAGAGGGTTTTTTAACATTTCGTAGTATTTCGGATTTCCCGATCCTGATCTGACGCTTACCCACTGTGCGTGCCCTGTTCCTGTCTTGGCTCAGTGGACAGAGTGTTTTTTAGTGCTCCATAGTGTTCCCGATTTCTCGACTTTCCTGCCTCTAAACCACTGAGCTTGCCTGTTCCCGCCTGAATGTTTTGCCTGAACTATCTGTGGACTCCTGAAACCCTGAATCAGCTTGTTCCAGTTCTCATCGATATCCCTGACTGGGCTCCAGACTCCTGGACCTGTGAGCCTTCCTATTCGATCTGTTTCACTGTGTTTCTTTTAAACCAGAGTTTCCAGGGATGGGCAGTGCCCCGCACTAGCCGCAGCTACGAACGATTCACTTGTGTTATTTTAAATAAACACTTTCAATTATCTCACTGTCTGTCTGGCCTTGAATACCGGGTCCTCTGTTCTGTTTCGTGACAGCTATTCCACTTCATGTGGATTCCACTACTCATTAGAAAAGCTGTTCAAAAACTTTCTGCTTACATTTATGCTTTTTTTTCTTTCGATCATGCCTAGTAAATCTAGAGTCTGAAAATATAATTGTATGCTCACCTGAGGAGTGACAAAGTAATCAAGAGCACCATGTTTTTTCCACCCACACTGTTTATATTTGATCAGTGCTGCACTTTATGGAATAGAAATGTTCATTTCACTGCCAAGCTGCTGCTCATTAAATGTCTGAAAGCTATGTGTATAACTTTGTATATACAAAATGACAGCAAAGTTTGTCCAAGTCTAATCACGTGTCTCTTTGGGAGACTCTGCCAGTTCAGGCCAACTCAATGTGAGAGGCTTAAGGACACAAAACGAAGAAACGGTTAATTTGTATACAATAATAGAGAAACTCAATAAAGAAATGTGTTGGGATTCTTTTCTTTTTTTGGTTATGCACACAGACTTGAGCTCATGTCAATTTATCAGTCTAAAATTATTGAATTATTTACTGAGAAATAAATCACACCACAGATCTGTCACAACTGTCAAACATCCCATGGATTGAATATACAAACAGAGAATATCGTGTCTTAATTACGTTTTAGCTTCTTTCTGTGCTCCATCTGTGTCTCTCCCAGTTCCCTTGGAAACGCATCTCAAACACATCCCTGTAAATTATTCAGAAATATCACTGAAGGACTTACAAAAACAGGTTATCTGAAAAGGCTAATGGATTGTAGGGATCACTGTCAAACAGCTCTCTTCATTGTGTATTTGTGTATTCTTCAAGCCTTTCGTGTCAAGAGAGTACTTATTTCAGGCAGGGATTATTCCCAAGCTGCTAACAGTTTTTGTTTTGTTTATGTTTCCCCCTGCTACCACGGATTGTGTAGTTTTAGGTCATGTAAACAGTAAGTTCATTCTACATTATTGTCATTTGTATTGAAGAGTTCTCATTTTCCTCATCCACATCGTAAAGCCACACTGTGCAACTTTTAACCACTAGGAGCACTATACAAGAAACTGAAATGTTTAGAACCCCTGAGAGCACTTTTATGAAATTTAACAGTTACCCTCAGTTTTTTGGAGTCTGATGACAGTTGCCTTTGTCATTGAGTTTCTTGTGCAGACACTGATGTTACATAGGTGAGGTTATGAGAAGGTCAGCCAGCATGGAGCATCAATATGCATTAATTGCTTTAAATTGAACTGGAAATTAATTTAGTATATCTGAAATTCAGCTAAAACTTGGGTCAAAAGTGACACAGTGTTGGTTTAACATACAGTCATCCCAGACATTCCTGTCTGCCGTAACTTCAACAATATTCGTGAAGATAATAGTCGCCATTACTACACGGAGTAAAACATACCAATATA